TACCCTTGATTCCCTTCATGAAGGATCCTTTAAACCCCTGGAAACCAGATGAACCCTAAAAAGGCTTGTGGTTCAAATACCTTAACAGGACTCATAGTAGTACAGGGCTATCTGACCCCAACTTTCGGGCTCATTTCCCCAGGGAATGTCTAGGGGTACCCTTCAAAATGGCACTTCTAGAAAGGCTACTCTGGGGTTTAGGGTTTAGGGTTTAGGGTTGAGGGTTTAGGGTTGAGGGTTGAGGGTTGAGGGTTTAGGGTCTACTTTCATTGGCGGCATGGGTGTCTCCGAGCGGATTGACGACTAAGGCCCGGCCATGGTGGAGCTACTTCATGTTGGCTAGTAGGGACTGAGGGAGTAATCCTTTAAAGGGTCTTTTTGGAGGGTTTAGGGTTTAGGGTTTAGGGTTTAGGGTTTAGGGTTTAGGGGGATATAGGGTACCTCATTCCCTCATTCCCTACTAACCAACAGTAGGACTACAGTGGGGGAGGCGGCACCTCCACTACAACACAAGAGAAGCCCTCCCTTCTCAAAACCCAGTAGCTTGTGAATGCCATAGACATCATAGACAGGGTTTATGCGGTTTGGGGTTTGGGGTTAAATTAGGGTTAATTGGGGTTTAGGATTTAGGGTTCGGGGTTTAGGGTTAAATAGGGTTAAATAGGGTTTAGGGTTTAGGGATGGTTTAGGGTTTAATTAGGGTTTAGGGTTTAGGGTTTAGGGTTTAGGGTTTAGGGTTTAGGGTTTAGGGTTTAGGGTTTAGGGTTTAGGGCATCTTGCCGAGTGCCTTCCACAGGTGGCGCTTTGCACCGGCGTCCACCGCGGCACTGGGCTCGTCCAAGAAGAGCCTTTCTGAGGTGTGGGGTCAGGTTTAGGGTTTAGGGTTCAGGGTTTAGGGTTGAGGGTTGAGGGTTTAGGGTTTGGGGTTTGGGGTTTGGGTCGTTTAGGCCGTAGGGCGTTTAGGGCATTTAGGGCATTTAGGGTTTAGGGTTTAGGCTATCGGAGTTATACCTGCTTTAGGGTTTCAAGTCTCAGGTCTTATAAGCACTCATCCCTTTACCCGAGGCCGGTTTAGGGTTTAGGGTTTAGGTTTTTAGGGTTTAGGGTTTAGGCGTGCATACGCAATGCATGATGTCGGCCTTCCGTCGATTGTGGTAGCCTTTGACTTGCACTGAATTTATTCCTGGGACTCTATTTACCTACAGTTCAGAAGCAACTACCCCTTAATCAGTAGGTAATTAGGTGAAACCCATTGAACTGTGGGTAAATCGAGTCTCCGGGTGCTATGGTCAAATTAAGGGGCTCGTAGCGGAAATGGCTTGAGCTGTAGCCATTTTAACCCAGGCCCTAAACCCCTCCCTCATGATAGGAACCCCCCAGGTCGATCTCGGACCGACCCGATGCCTAGGCTTGCTTCCCTGGCTTGTTAGCCTATGCACCGACAACACAGATCTGCCTTCGCAAGTTTCTACATGGCCCCCAACCCTTGACGGAACTGCGTACGGCATGCCCCCCCGACCATGCTCTTACTTTCCGCACCCATCCTCCTCCAAAAGCTTACAGTATTTCGGGTTCGACTCTTCTCCCTACGATAAGAAGAAGGCACCCAGTACCCCGTGATGAAGGGAACCTGTAAACCCTGAATACTCAACCCGAAAACCTAAACCTTCATTGCAAGATTAAGAACAAAAGGCCTAAAATAGACCCCGCAAACAGTAGGATTCCCTTATAATGCGGACCCCAATAAGGTACCCCTTAACCCTTTAAAGCCAAACCCCGTATCCGACGTCCTGTAGCCCTAAACCCTAAACCCTAAATCCTAAACCCTAAACCCATCTGTATCCGAAGCCCATGTCCGCCCTCAGCCAAGGCACAGCGGTGACCGTCCGATCAAGGCGATGGCCAAACTGAGCTTCCCTTAGCGAGGCCCGCTTATCATCTTTGTATGATCTATGATATTTATGTACAACATTTGTATGTGCATGCGTGTGTGTGTAACAAGAAAATATACATAGATACATACATACATACATACATACATACATACATACATACATGCATGCATGCATACATGCATGCATACATACATATATATATATACATATAATATTCTGAAGTATCCTGTAAGAAATGGCTCTGCTTCATGGGCCTAAGTTTACTGCCGCGGCTTCCTCTGTGGGAGATCCGCAGGTGCGGCGAGGTGTTGGTTTGGGCACCATGGTTTAGGGTTTTTAGGGTTTTTAGGGTTTATAGGGTTTATAGGGTTTATGGTTTAGGGTTTAGGGTTAGGGTTTAGGGTTTAGGGTTCAGGGTTTAGGGTTAGATGCCCGCGGGGTTGCCCAAAGAAGGGGAAATCAGACAAATCGGCCACCCTGAGCTTCAGACTTGCCCAAAGCTGGGAGTTTAGGGTTTAGGGCTTCGGGTTTAGGGCCTGGTGGTTGAGGGTTGAGGGTTTAGGGTTAAGTTTTAGGGTTTGGGCTTCGGGTTTAGGGTTTGGGGTTGAGGGTTGGGGAAGTTCTTGAAATTGAAGAACTCCAAGCTTGAGGACCCGGAGCACAATAGCTTTAAGCAGCGGGGATAAGACTGGAGCCTTCCGAAGCCACACGCAGACATGCAAACAAAGAGATCCACAGACGACACGAGGCAAACCTTAAATGCCTTCAACATCCCGAACCCCCATGATGCCCCCGAAGCCTCAACCCTCATCCCGAAACCTTCACCCTAAACCCTAAACCCAAACCCCAAAGCCTCCAACCCGATACCCTCGTCTGGGGACTCAGCGCTTCATACCGCCACTGTACCTGAGCTTGCGAGAACTTTTTTTGGGTCCCTCCAGCTCTTGGCTCCATTCAGGGGCGAGGGTTTGGTCAGGGCTTAGGGTCCAGCCTTAAAGGCCTCGGGCTTCGAGAGTTAGAGGGAGAGGAGAGAGAGAGAGAGAGAGAGAGAGAGAGAGAGAGAGAGACAGAGAGAGAGAGAGAGAGAGAGACAGAGAGAGTGTGTGAGAGAGTGAGAGTGAGAGAGACAGAGACGGAGAGACAGAGAGCCAGAGACAGAGAGACAGAGCCAGAGAGATGGAGAGACAGAGCCAGAGAGCCAGAGAGCCAGAGAGCCAGAGAGACAGAGAGACAGAGAGCCAGACAGACAGAGGGACAGGCAGACAGACAAAGAGACAGAGAGACCGAGAGCCAGAGCGACAGAGAGACAGAGAGCCAGAGAGCCAGAGAGACAGAGAGCCAGAGAGACAGAGAGACAGAGAGACAAACAAACAGAGAGACAGAGAGACAGACAGACAGAGAGCCAGAGACAGAAAGACAGAGAGACAGAGAGACAGACAGAGAGCCAGAGAGACAGAGACAGAGACCGAGACCAGACACCGACACAGACACACACAGACACAGACAGATAGAATTCTCCAACAAAATTCACTCCGCAGACCGCAAAGACTGGGTGGCAGGCTCGACCGCCTTTCTGTTGGCATCTGGTCCTCAAGCCAAGCACAGCATCGGCTCCCAACAACAACCCAAACTACTATTTGCTTTAGAACCCCCCCCCCCAAAAAAAAAAAAAAAGCACCTTCCTTGTTATAGGGATTGTTATCGTTATCGTATTTGTTTGGAGCTCTTACGCAATTTTTAAAGTAAGCTCCAAACCCCCCCAAAAGTCGACCAACCGAGTCCCAGAAGGTTTCTTTTGCCTGCCATGTCTGAGATTTTTCAGTAACACGACAAGGGCTCACACATGGGGGTTTCCGAGATTAGGAGTACCTTACTGGGATCCATGTCTTAAGGGAATCCTACTATTTGGGGGTCTATATTGGGGGTCCCCTATTTTGGTACTGGGGTTGGTATAGCATCTGCGAAACACCAAGCCTGCGAGAAATCCTGGTCTTGTAACCCTGGAACGCACCAAAAGCACAGCTGAGGCTGCCTTGACCTAACTATCTTTAGGGTTTAGGGTTTAGGGTTTAGGGCAATAACCACAGACTTGTGCTCATTCCGCAAGCGTTACTGTTGCTTCGAGTTCAAGCGAGCGAAATCTTAAAAACCTAAGCCCATTGAAAACCTGGACAAGCCCTGATTGAAGATTCGTGGGTAGTTGTAAGTAGGGCCACACATGCCCGACAAAGGGTGTTGCACTAGTTAGTCCTAACTCCGGCCATGCAGCCCCTGTAAACCCTAAGCCCTTAAACCTAAGTACTGTCATACAATAAACCCTAAACCCTAAACCCCAAACCCCAAACCCCAAACCCCAAACCCCAAACCCTAAACCCTACCCTATAAGCCCCAAAACCCTCACACTTGAGGCTGGCACCGTCGAGCCCCAGCCGGTAGAGCAAATCATCCACCCGCCGCTGCAAGTCCATCTGAACGGTTTAGGGTTTAGGGTTTAGGGTTTAGGGTTTAGGGTTTAGGGTTTAGGGTTTAGGGTTTAGGGTTTACAAGGAGGGGCCCCCCCTAGTTATAGGTATAGTTATAAGGGCCCTAAATAGGGTTATAAGGATCCTAAATTTGGTTTTAAACCCCTTAACTACAGTTAGTGTAGTACGGGGGCCCCTCCTTGTATGATGATGATAAAGACCCCAAGAGGCAAGTTTTAGGTTGGGATTCTAGGGCAAGGTTGAGGGTTTAAGTTTGGGGCGAATCGAAAGGGGGCGGCGGGCGCGAGGAGGGCAAGGAGAGCGGGGCTGGGGCGGGGGCGGGCGGGTGATCAGCGATCGAGCGGCTGGCCACAATCTCAGGGCAAAGTGCTTGCCTACCATCACACGCAGAAAGACTCTGTTTGTGTATCGAACTATGTGCTGTTCCAAAGGAACCTAAACCTGGCCCTAAACCCTGCGCCTAGCAATCCCATGTACTTGGGTCAGACTACGACCGCGTTTTAGGGTCTTAGTTCTGTTCAAAACGCGCAGGTGGAGCTAACCATGGCGCGACGCAACTCGTTTTTCCTTGTGCGCGCAGCGATGCTCTCCTCCTTTTCGTTGCGGCTGCTCGGTCGGGCCATCACACCAGCCGGATAACCCAAACGGACACGAGCGCGAGGAAGCAAAACCAGAGCGCCGAAGCAAACAGGGGCCAGAACAGCGAGGTGGCGGCCGCCTCACCTCAGTTGTCCAGTAACCTGGGGGAAGTAAAGGTGAACCTTTGGGATCATAAGGGGGATCATACTACCCCAAAAAAAGTTAACGGTTACCTACTCTGCCACTAGGTCACTGCCAGCAATCGCATCTGAAGGATCCGCGTCCGCCTTGGCAACGTCTGCTGTGACCGGCTTGCTGTCTGCCTGCGACTTCGACTTCGACGTCTTGGGCTCCAGTGGATGAAGCTCGGGGCCTTTTCCTTACTTCTCCAATTTAGGGGTCTAGGTTTAGGGTTTAGGGTTTAGGGTTTAGGGCTTAGGGCTTAGGGTTTAGGGTTTAGGGTTTAGGGTGTCGGGTTTGGGGTTTAGGGTTTAACTTTAATATTCCTAGGAAAAAAGGAAACCCAAAAAGTTGAAAGTTCGACTCAAGGCGATGGAAGTTTCCGGGCCATCCAACCACCTCAAAGGCCTCCACTGGGGACGGGTTCAACTGCGCAAAATCCACGGTGGACCTTGGGGGACCAAGTCGGAACCCTAAAATTTGGGGTCATATCATTTCCCTATACTACTATAGTCCCTATTGAGGTAGTAGGAACTAAAACAAAACATTTTAGGGTTCCTTTGGAACCCAAGGAACCTTCCATCCATGGTGCGTTGCTGGTTGTCGGCCCGGGCGCAAAGCAAAGACCGGATCACGTGCTTTGACCCACGCTGAGCCGCCAAGTGGAGTGGGCTGATGCCATTCCTGGGACTCTATTATTTGCCTACAGCTTCAAAGTAACTGCCCCTTAATTAGTAGGTATTACCCACCCGAAACCCTGAATCCTTTTTACGGCTAGGACTGCTGCACTGCCTGCCTGGGACGAAAACCATGCCATTCGAGAGCGAGCTACGCGGACTCTGCCGCACTGCATCCTAAACCCTATAAACCCTATAAACCCTAAACCCTAAACCCTAAACTGTGGGTAAAGAGAGCCCCAGGTTCTCATCAGAGGCATTGGGGTCCGCCCTCTGCCGGCAGAGGAGCCGCGCCAGCAGCAAAGTCCGCTCGTGGTCGGGCCCGACGAGGACCTTGGGGACCAAATGAGCCCCAAAAATTGGGGTCATCTACCCTGCACTACTAAAATTCCTACTAAAGTATATGAACCATATGAACCATAAACCCTTTTAGGGTTCATTTCGTCCCCAAGGAACATGGTGCAGCGCCGTGCGGCCAGATGTGTCCAAGGCCTCACAACCTCCGGGACGAACAGAAGTCTTAATAATTGGGATCATATTATACTCCATAGATACTACTACTGGAATCCCTATAAGCATAACCCTAAACCCTAAACCTTAAAACCCTTAGACCCTAACTATGGACCTAAACCCCTTAATCCGGGGCTCCTTCACTACTACAGTATTTGCTTCAGAACGCCCCCACAAAACAATATAAAACCATAATGCCTATATTACCCTTATGAGGAAGAATATCTTGATTTTTGGGGGGTCAAACAATTGGTAGTTCAACCCTAAAACCCTACAACTCTAAAGATGGACCCTAAACCCCTTAACTCAGGGTTCCACCACTACTATTTGCTTAAGAACCGCCCCTTCCCCCCCCCACCATTTGCTTAACAACCCTCCAAACAATAGAAGAATAACAGTACCTATATTCCCCTTCTGAGGAAGGATATATATATATATATATATATATATACATATATATATATATATGCATATGTTTATATATATATATGGTGATTTTTTGGGGGGAGGGGTTATATAAGCAGTTGGTAGTTCAGTGTCCAAGGCACACCAGGAGGCCGCATCCTCCTCCGACACGCCTCCCAGCATCCCCTGCACCTCATGGGGGACCACATGAAGCCCCCAAAGGTGGGACCATCTACCCTACACCACGATAGCCCCTAGCCCCTAAACCCTAAACCCTAAACCCTGAACCCTGAACCCTGAACCCTGAACCCTGAACCCTGAACCCTGAACCCTGAACCCTAAACCCTAAACCCTAAACCCTAAACCCTAGCCCTAAAGCCTAAAGACATGAGCCCTAAACCCTTGTAGGGTTCATTTGGGGCCCCCAGAAGCCACCGTCGACAGCTTCCCGCTTCGCAGCGCATCCCTGAAGGCATCGGTTTCATCCTCCACGAAGAGGTCGGCATCCTTTCAAGGGAGTCGAACTTGGACCCCCTGAAGGAGGTTTAGGGTTTAGGGGTTTAGGGTTTTCTGCAGCACCATCTCCAAAGAGCGAATATCGGGCGCCAACGTGAAACACGAGTCTGCCCCGCAAGCCCAGGACCCCAGGCCTGCCGATGCAAAAGGTGAGCAACTCTGAGGGCCATGCCAACATTTCAGGCTAGCCTCAGTGGAGCCTCACTCAAGCTAAGAAACCTCGGGGAATGACAAATCACATCACATGCGCGCTCGCGCAAAGGCCTCCGGCATCAAATACAGCCAGCTGGCAGGAAGCCGGCTCCACTCGACCACTACATGCATCTCCCCGCTCCAAAGCGGTCGAAAGGCAGTGGGCCACTCCAACTCAATCTCGACATGAAAGTGCAAGAATAGGCGGATATGCACAACTTTGAGCTCCGTTGCTACGAGATCTTTCAGCCGACCCAAGAGCGTGCCAGCCCCAGGACAAGGCCACTCAGATTCGTGCTCCACCCAGCCGCGCACCCTGTGATGATATGCCAAGGCACAGCAGCGGCCACCAATGCAGGCAAACACAGGCTTTGACCGTGCAGCAACCCCTAGAAGACATCTCCTACTCCACGACTGGCACTGCTCAGGGTTTAGGGTTTAGGGTTTCTGCTGCATGATCTAGGGCCACGAGCGCGATCCATGCAAAAGACCAGAGACCAGCCCAGCACATTGGCTGGGTCGGAAAGAGCCATCAACCCCGAGAAGCCCTCTGGGGCGTCACTCGCTCCCTCCAGGAACAACTCGCAACCACCCTTTTCGGGGATTGCAGACACATGTACCACCACGTTCCGTTCACTCCACAACGCAGGCAGAGCGTGTGGACTCCCATCCCTGACATTTTCACCGTGTACAAACGGACATGGACTGTCCTGGCACACAGCACCTGCAGCCATGAAGCGTCACAAGTCTCCCACACACTCTGATGGCTGACCGGCTCCGGACACTGGAACTCCCATTGCTGCCAGCCATCCCGCCGATGAAGTGTCTTCAACGTCAAAGTGGCGTCGCTCAAGAACAAGAAGAAAGTTTGTGAACCAAACAAGCAGCCTTGAATGCACCGCCGATGCCAAGACATGAAATCAACTGCTGTGGCCCAGACATTCCGCTCCACAGCGTGCCTAGAACTGCCATTCCAAGCCAGCCATCGATCCGTAAAGCCTCCCCACTCCTCCTTACTCATGCTTGCCGCTGTGCTCAGGTCCAGGTATTGGCTCTGCAGGAACTGCTTGCACCGAAAACACATGGTGTAGTCTGTGCCAGTGCGACGCCGAACCCCCCCTCGCATGGCATCTGCGTGACAGACTGCGAAGACAAGCGTTTGAGCCACTTCATTTGTATGGCCCCTGCAAATATGACCAAACAAGCTCCGAACTTGAATCAGGAACAAGACATCCCAGGCTCCCCCCCATTTGGCTTGCTGCCAGCATTTGGCGACAGTGCGGATACAGACATACATCTCCGGCGAGAACCATGCAAGGTGAGTCCGCAGCCCAAGAAGCCAAACAACAAGCGTGGCGCTTTGTGTCCTCGCGTGACTGGCATTGTCCACTGAAGGCTCCGGAACTCCCAAGGCCCAGACCACGGATGACTGCACGAGTTTCACGAACATGTGGGCCCGTTGCTGAATGCACGCCCCCTTATGCAGCAGCAACCTGCGCGCGCCCAAAAAGGCACTCACAGCTCTACGCATCAGCGCCTGCATGACATGGCCGTCGTGCTCAGATATTGTCAGAGGCAAACCCAGGAATCGAACAACCTCACTCTCTGGATACCAGCAACACAGGCTGGAAGCCTGTCCGGGAGCTGCGCGCCCAAAATCTTGCTCTTGGCCAGGTTGATTTCCAAACCGGCAGTTTGCAGCAGAAGCTGAACTTGCGGGAAAAACCTGATCAGCTGAGCCATTCCCTTGAAAACCAGGAGGCAGTCATCGATAAACAAAATAGTCCACATCGCCCCCAGTGAGGTGTGGAAGGGAGACTCTTCCCCCGCTGCTGACCAGATCCGCTTGATATCATCGAATGTCATCGAACATCATGCCCATCAACGCCCCGAAAATGCGCGGAGAATGCCCGCCACCTTGCACAGTTCCTCTCTTCATGGTCTCCTTCCACTCCCCACCCAAGAAAGAACCGCAGGGTCTGACGAGTCATCATGTAATGCAAAGAAGCACAGCTCGTCATCTGTGTCGACTGCGCATGTCGGGCCAAGTACTCAAGCATGCTCGGAATATCTGCCGAATCAAAAGCGCCCGTGATATCCAAGCGGAGATAGACAAAGCCGTCATCATACATTGCACTCTGCACGGCCATGACCTGAGCAACCTTCACCACCTCTGCCAGCTGAATCCCCGCGATGCCTCCCATGACCTCGAGCGGCGTTGGCCAAACATCCAAAGTCCTTCTGATGCATATTGCCGCTATCCACTTGCAGACACACTCCGTGAGCACAATAGGTCGAACATCTCTGGGCAATGTCACACATGCGGTCTTTTCTATGAGCACAACAAGCCCTTCAAAGAACTCAGCTGAAACCACAGTGGGCGAGGCATGAATTTGCCTGAACATCGCCAGCAGCAGAGTCTGACCCTCCTCCGTTTGCATAATCGCTTTGAGTAGCTCGTTGGATATACCTGTCTGACCCGTGGCTTTACTCGGTTTGGCTCTGTTAGCCGCCCGCTGCAACTCCTCCAAAGTGATGAGTGGCTCCGACGAGATGCCCGGCACCTGCCATGGCCAACGATCGCTGTCCTCGTTGAACGGCACTGCAAACTTTTCACTGAAATGAGCCCTCACCTGCTCCCTGGCACCATCTCGTCCACCGCACTGATAGACATATAGTCACCCATTCCAGTCACACGAACCTTTGGTTGCATCTGCGAGCGCCCCAAATCGCCCTGCGCTGCTTTAGCCCATACTTCCTGGAACCAGTCGTAACGGGCCTGTCTCCGCTACGTGAAAATATGTCTGGACATCCACTGTCTGTCGATGGCCACCGCAGTCACCGACCTAGCCCTGCACAGCGCTTTGACATGTGGAGGATCCACATACCGTCTAGTGAAAGCCTTGGCAAACCCCTGCAAAAGCGGCAAAGTCATCCCATCTCCAACAGCTGCTGCATCCACACAAGCCTGATTGAGAGCCTCTTGATCCGTCACCAGATACCTTCCCACACTGCCCCTACGCCTGGGCTTGCCTCCAGAAGGTTTTCTCTCCATGAGCAGCATTTCATGGATCACGGGCACGTGGTCGACTCCAAGCGCCAGCTGCATTTGCCAGTGAAAGGACTCCTCACCGTATGGCCAATCATCCCCATCCTGGCCCAATTTACTGCACTGCTTGACAAGGGCAGAGTTGTAAAAGATGTGAGACGCCTGCTCGAATGCAACCGGGTAGGGTTTAGGCAAGTAGAATGGAACGTGAATCCCACAGCGCAAAGTTCACTCCACACCACCTGCGCACGGGCCGTGAGCTCATACCAGGGCTTGAGGTTGATAGCTGCCAAGAGAGCCGAGGACCACTCCTGCGGCTTCGTTATTCGGCAGATCCTTTGTTTTTTCTGTCTTGGACCTGGATTCCTTGTCTTGCCACAGGGTGTAGTATTGCTTTCCTTGACCTTGAGCCAATGAAACCAAGGGTTTAGGGTTAGGGTTACAGCCTTAAGGTGCCCCCTAAATAGACTCCTCATAGGGGCCCCATATTCCCAAAAGGGATCCTCATCAAGGGGTTCTGAATAAGGTAACAACCCTAAACCCTAAACCCTAAACCCTAAACCCAAAACCCAAAACCCTAAACCCTAAACCCTACTTAAGGGGTCCAAGGTCGAGTCCCGCGATCCTTCCGTCTCACGGGGCGGCGGGGCATTGCTAGGACCTCCAGCTTGGGGACCAAGTATGAACCCCCAAAAATTGGGTGTCATATAGCCCTGGACTACCATGATCCCTATAGTAAGGTAAGGTGTACCTAAGATTGGGGTCATCTAGCCCTAGACTACCATGATCCCAATTTAAGGAAGTACGAACACGAAGCCCTGCTGGGGTTCATTTGGCCCCCAAGGTGTATGTGCAGCCCTCTAAACTGCAAACGGTTAGTTCAGGGTTTAGGGTTTAGGGTTTAGGGTTTAGGGTTTAGGGTTTAGGGTTTAGGGTTTAGGGTTTAGGGTTAGAGTGTCTGGAGAAGCTACACTCGACTTTTGCTTGTCTGGCTGGCCGTGGAAGGCATCCGTCAATTTTCAACATGGCTTCCGAGCCAACGATGTGTGGCTTGAGCCTGCTATCGCTTGCAGTATGCATGCATGAAACGCCCAAGGTGCGAGGGGGGTTAACAGCGACAAGTTGGTGCCTTCACGGTGCTTGGTATTGACGTGAACTGGGTGGACGGCCAACAAAAGTCACACGAGACAGGAATGTGCCCTTAACAGCTTAGTGGGGGTTAATGTCACCAGGCATAGCTCAAGCACACGAAAAGGGTGGGTCCTCCCCAAGGCTCGAACGTCCGAACGCATCTCGTCCCTTGCAGACCAGAGTCTAGCCTCTGCTGGAAACCCCCCCCCCCCCTCAGCTCCCTCACCAACATCCTGTCCATGCACTTCTCGGCCATATATACAAGAAGGACCCCCTAGACATAAGTAGAGCTATAAGGACCCTAAATTGGGTTCTAAGGATCCGAAACTAGGTTATAAGTCCCTCAACAACAATTAGTATAGTAAGGGGGGCCCCTCCTTGTAGTGTATGGAACTATCCAGTATGAAAGGTTTCTGGTCTTCAGGCCCCAGGTTCGCCTCGGGGACGCCTTTGATTCGACCAAAGAACCTGGCCAGGAAAAGGAATCGGGGCAGTGGCGCCATCATGGCCCGCAATAGTCAGGAACAGCCAAATCCCCTGAATTCAACGGAACCCTGTATGGTTTGAGGTACGTATAGTCCTGGATGCAAGGGTATTCAGCAATCTGGCCTCTGGGCTGCACGTGTGGGTCCAGAATCTCCAAGACGGTTTCAAAAGGAACTTTTAAGCTTAGTTGCCCAGCAACCTTCGGGAACTAAAGGCTAGCCTTTGCGATGTAGGGATTTGCATACCCCAAAACGGTTATAAGGTTACCTACTCTACTACGAAGTAAGGATCCGCTACCATCCACGACATGGTTGAGTGCATGGCTGTGGCTAGTAATTTGGCTGTCTGCGCCCGAAATTCCGAGAGCGACAGAGGGTTTAGGGTTTGGTGTTTAGGGTTTAGGGTGCATCGAAGCTGCAGACATGACCCATCCAGAGAACTACTTGCGGAAGCAAGAGCCATAGACGTAACACAACCACACGTAGGAACCCTTCTGTGTTTCAAGGGCACGCCACCAGACCTCCTGCTATTTCTTCTGCGTCTGAGGGCTCGGCATCAAATGCTCGCGCCCAGACAAGAACTCCCAAAGCGGATCGATCTGCGCGGCGAGCGGCGTATAGGGTTTAGGGTTTAGGGTTTAGGGTTTAGGGTTTAGGGTTGAATGTGCTTTCGGGCCCCCGGATGTCAGCGTCAGACTGCCGGCTGCAATATTTTACGTAGCCGATTCGCTAAGCTTTCAAGAATGTACTCGTGAACATAGTACAGCCGGAGAGAGAGAGAGAGAGAGAGAGATATGTATGTATGTACGTGTGTGTGTGTATTCCAGGCCTGAGGGCACACGCCCAAGACCTTGTACGCCTGCCCGGCCGGTGGGCATCGAGAGGTGGGGGTTGGGTACTCTGAGGACTGTAGGTACTCTCAGCTCTTTTTTCTTGGCTTTGGGTTTAGGGTTTAGGGTTTAGGGTGTAGGGTTTAGTCTAGTATACTAGAGACTGTAGGCCGTAGAGGTTCAGGGTATGGTAGGGTTAGCACGGTTGCGGAGGGTTCACAGCTCATAATTGGTGCGGGTGCACCGTCTCAGTGCGCTACTCAGACAAGGGCGAGGCTGACAGTGCTCTCAGTCAATGATCTAAGGTTTCGGGTCTTAGGGTTTAGGGTTTACGGCTTAGGCATCTTGAGGAAATTGGGGGGCCATAAGGGCATGATTCAATGTCCACAAGGCCATCGGATGAGTACAAAAACAATGTTAAGTGTCCTCAGGACTTTTTCAATGGCTTCTGGTCGTAAGGTGAGGGCTGAGGGTTGAGGGTTGAGGGTTGAGGGTTGAGGGTTGAGGGTTGAGGGTTGAGGGTTGAGGGTTGAGGGTTTACGGCTTACTGCCCACCTCTTCCAAGCCATGGGAAGTCGTGACATCGTTGCCCAAGATCTGGACCTGCAAAAAAAGCAGATCCAGACCCTGATCCCTTCGGGTTTAGGGTTTAGGGTTTAGGATTTAGGGTTTAGGGTTTAGTACAGTAGCTCAAGACCCCTGCCCAATACCTCCTCACGGTAGCTGAATCCCTAAGAATCCCATACTCCTGCGCAAGCTGCCAGAAACTCAAAAACCGAAGGCATATCCGCAGCTTGAGCAAGGCATGCGAAGTGTTCGCTTCGGACGAGAATGCAAGACCTTGGCAGAGTTAAGACCATCTATCTAGGAGTCACCTAGGAATAAGCAGGGCGCCCATTTGGGGTTTAAAGGTGAATGATAAGGGAACCCAAACCCTAAACAAGGGAGAAAGAGGGCCTACTCTGGGTCCTAGCTATAGTCCTCTCCCCGTTTGAAATGCAAGCCTCCCCGCTGATGACAGCATGTCTTTCGGGGCACATTGGGAAAGTTATGGTCGAACCCGTTGCTACAGTATAGTCACCTTCACCACCGCTAGACTCTCTATACAGACTCCCTAAACCCTAATTAAACCCTAAACCCTAAACCCTAAACCCTAGACCCTAAACCCTAAACCCTAGGACACTCGACGAAGTGGCCTGTCCGGCTGTGGGGGGTCGCACCTCACCGGTCCTTAGTGCACTTGCGTCGTAGCGGGCGCCCACCGTGCGATGTACCAACAAATTCTGGTTCTTAGTAGGGAATGAGGCCCTATTACATATATATATATATATATAAGTATGTATATATATATATATACATATATACCCTTTAAAGGGAGCTCTTGGTAGGGAATGAGGGAATCAGGGCCCTGTATGTACCCTTTTGAGGGAGCCATAAATTCATGCAGCCCACCCTTTGGCTGGGCCGAAAAACCCTTCAACCATCAAGAATCCGTACTGCAAGCCCTGCCTGGGACTCTCACGGTTTAGGGTTTAGGGTTTAGGGTTTAGGGTTTAGGGTTTACCTACAGTTTAGTAGTAGCTAGCCCTTTAATTAGTAGGCATAACCTATTAGTTACAGTTTAGTAGTAGCTCACACCTTAATTAGTAGGTATAGCCCATTCGTTACACTGTAGGTGAAGAGAGTCCCAGGTACAACAGCACAGCTTTGCCTGAGCAAGTGCGTCCGCTCCTTTTGTTCCCGCAGAACGACCTGGGAGGTTGCCTTTTGGCACATGCCAACTCCGGGATCACCGCGCAGAATGGGGAGTGGGACGCCAGTGACAGCTGTGGTGGTCTGGTTGAGGTTTGGCCCTGCAAAGATATATAAGTAAGATGTTCCTCTTCAACTTGGTAACAAGGGGCAAAATGTAAAATATACCAAGGCCTTTCAGGTAGAATAGTACCCTAAACCCTAAACCCTAAAACCCTGAAACCCTAAACCCCTAAACCCCTAAACCCCTAAACCCTAAACCCCAACTCCGAAGCAAGCGGCTTGCTGGTCTACCAGCAGCGAGGGCAATTCAGGTTTCGGCTCAGGGCTGGGCCATGATGTCTACGAGCTTCCACTTGGAAGGGCTGATCTAAACGTTGGGCCGTCAAAAATGTTCAGGCCACATATAATGAACATATACATATCAATATAAATATAAGTATTATATCTGTATTTATATACATATAAGTATAAATACAACAGACATATAGTATAAAATTAAACATAGTTTTTGTTCTACACATATTTTGTTGATTTATCTATTTATGTATCTGTTTGTTTGCTTACATTTGATTATTTAGTTCTATGTGTTTGTTAAAGTCTATTTTAGGGCGGGAGGGGGGACGCATATTCCATACAATCTCCTAAGCCCTAAACCCTACTCCCTAACCCTGAACCCTAAACCCTAAACCCCCTTGTACTCTTTCCAACGGGTTTAAAGGCTTTCGTTTGAGGGCTTTTTTCGGCCGCCCACTTCCTCGTGTCACGCGTGTTCTACGATTTGACCCAACGAGCCCAGCACCCTGTCATCAACATGCCTTGCAGTTCATACTCGATGAACTGCGGGTTCCCCTAAACCCTGAATCCTAAACCCTAAACCCTAGACCCTAAACCCTAAACCCCAAACCCCTAAACCCGAACCCGCTCCTCGCAGCATTGGGCTCTGGGCATGTCCAGGGATACTTGGAGGTTCAGGGTACCTTTTAAGCAATTATAACTGCACTTAGAACCCACTTAGAAGCTCCTTAAGTGCCCTAATGTGGTTATAATTTGGGTCGTAAGTACAGTTATAGTTGAGTTCATAAGTACCATGAACCTTCAAGCAATCCCCCGAAGTCACGAGCCGCGGCCTGGGCGCGAGCTGAGCACCGGCTTGCCTTGCGCTGGCGGAGGACGGGAGGCGCAGTCTTGGGGGGTTTAGGGTTGAGGATTTAGTATTTGGGGTTCAGGGAGAAAAAGGCTTTGTGGTCCCCAGACCTGAAGTAATAGTAGTATAGGTTGGGATGTCCCCCTCCTACCAACAGTCCTGAATAGGGACTATACGAGGGGGTACGATAATTCCTATTACGGCTGCTAGTATAAGGGGGGAACATCACAAGTTATAGTAGTATAGGGCACAGCAAATGATCCCAATCTGGGGCCCTACTGTAGTCCCCCCAGGTCAGGGTTCAGGGTCGCAGTTCTTGGGCTGCTTTGGAGTTTGAAAGCTTCCTATAGGGCGTGGGTTGTCTGACATTAGTTTTTCGGATGAGATTAGGGCTTCAAGGCGGCCGCTCCCAAATTTCGAACAACCCTCAGTTCAGTTTCTGGGCAGTTTGAGGATGATCGGGCTGTTGCAGAGTGCTTCTGGGCAGAACTTATTTCAAACGAGCCACAAACAAGTCAGGCCCCATGCAGTATCCTGTAGAATCGTAGCCCTACCTGCCAAAGCAAAGTGCTGTGTGGGTTCAAGATTCCATGACCCAAGAATGGCGTCACCCTTTGCTCAGCCCTTTCAACCTTAATCAGGGCCTTGAACAAAACACTCACCCACCCACACACCACCCCCCCGCCAAACAAACAAAATTAATGACAGACAAGACCAAAAACAAACACTACCAACCGATAACAAAATCAACCCAGAAGCCCGAAGACCCAAGATTGAGATGCCTTTCAGCAGGTCCTCGGGCAACTTGGAGTTGGTCCCCAAGGTTTCTAACTCGAAAGCCATCAGCTGCCTTCGGGGTTGTAGAAATCTTGGTTGCTGAGTTCATAAGCCCCCAAAAGTGTACACTTTCATTTTAAAAGGGGTTATAGTATCCCCAAAAAGTGTAAAGTGTACTCACTCAGCAGCTAAGAAAGTCTAAGAAATTTAGGGCTTTAGGGGTGTAGGGATTTTCGGGATTTCTAATAAGGGATCTTGAGAGATTTTGAAGGGTTTATAGGGATTGAGGGGTTTAGCCTTTAGGGCTTTTAGAGATTTTCAGGGCTTCGGATATTTTAAGGGTGTTTTGGGATTTTAGGGCTTTTAGGGATTTTAATGGTTTTAAGCGTTTTAGGCTTGGGGGATTTCGGGCTTTATCATGCCACCCGTCCAGCGATGCTCCGCTGCGATGCCAACGCAACGCGGCCCACTTTAGACTAATACCGAGAGCAGACTGACCCGGGACCCTTGGGATCAGGAGCAACTTTATACCACAGATATATCGACACAAAAACCAAACTCTAAACCCTAAACCCTTTCTGTTCCCTTAGGGTATCGAACTCTTAGACCGCTATCTGGGTCCTTCAAGGGCATGCAGAAACTCACTGTCCGACTGCCCACTACTTGGCACTAAGGTTTAGGGTTGAGGAAGCTTAGAAACCCCTCTTGGGTAATGTCTTTCGTTTAGGGTTTAGGGTTTAGGGTTTAGGATTTGGGATTCTTACTGCATCCTGCAGGATCACCACGGGGGCCTGAGGAATCCGGCGTTGGGGCGGGCAATTGGGCGCTTGGACTTCACGTAGGCGAGCGCGTCGGCCAGCGGCATTTGCCTGAACAACGCCCTCCCCTAAACCCTTTTTAAGCACGGACTGAGGCCCCCTAAACCCTAAACCCTAAACCCTAAACCCTAAACCCTAAATCCTAAATCCTAAATCCTAAACCCTAACTAACCCTAAACCCTAAACCCTAAAACAAGAATAACATGTCAACAATAGTAATAATACTGTTCATCTAGACCCAAGAAACGCCTCGGAAAAAAAAGGGGTGCCCTAGCCTTTCCTGCAAAAGGGGCTTCTAAGGGAACCTAAACCCGAAAAAAAGGGAATATTGGGGGCCCCCTAAACCCTAAACCCTAAACCCTAAACCCTAAACCCTAAACCCTAAACCCTAAACCCGACTCTGGGTCCTAGCAATAGCAATGCAAGAGGTGGCCCCCTCCGACAGATGGCTAATCGTACTGGTACGTGGTCCCTAAACCCTAAACCCTAAACCCTAAACCCTAAACCCTAAACCTGTTCCTTGTTTGGAGGGTGGAATTCCTTCTTTGAGGGACCCTGAGAACCCACCCAAGGGTTTTTGGGTTCTTAAGGGAGGGGGGTTCAAAGGGGGGTTAGGTACCTAAGGAACCCCTGACAAAGCCTAGGGAGCCTTGGGGATTTAGGGTTTAGGGTTTAGGGTTTAGGGGTACGGGGGAACCTTGTGTTACATACCCCCCTTGAACCGCCCTCCCTTAAGAACATGTTCAAAGGAAGTGGCCAGATTAGTTGATGACCGGGTTGAGGGTTTAGGGTTTCAGGGCCGTTCTGTTGAACTGTTCGCGCTCCTTCACTTTGCGCCACATACCAAGGAACCCTCAGGAACCCTAATTGAAACCTCAAGTGATCTACATGATAGGTGACTCTTACCAAACAAGGTTCCCGCATCATGTAGATCACCCCGCCCACGACCCCATGCAAACAAACAAACCATAGGCGCTGAATTCTAAGCCTCAAGCAAAAAGACCAAATTCCTTAGAGCCTTGAATTCCACACACCCGACACCCTCCCAAACCCGAAACGCCCCAAACCCAAAACACCCAAACCCCAGCCCCCCGACCTGGACACGAGGTACGCCAAGCAAACGGAAACAGACCGACTCTTTCCTTTCCGGGGGCGCTTGGTGGTAACCTGTCTTGGGGCTTCGGGATTTACGAGGAGGGGCCCCCTAGCTATCAGTAGGGTTTTAAGGACCCTAAATTGGGTTATAAGAATCCTAAGTTAGGCTATAAGTCTCTTAACTACAGTTAGTATAGTAAGGGACCCGCCCCCTTGTATATAGGGTTTAAGGGTTCCGGGGTTTGCTAGCGGCCTCATTCTTCCTTAAGAGACCTGGGCATTGCGGGCAGTTTTGTCTTGTAACTTTATAGCCGCCTGCATGGCTGAACCCGCGTTCATTTCGCAGGGGACATGCAACCGATGAGACGAAACATGCAGAGCCACATGTTGCTTCAGCATGACATCTGGTGCATGAACCAAACTGGCGTCATGTCAAAACCCACACCAATCACCTGGGCTTACACAAGCATGCCAGCCATGATTAGGGTCATGCCACTCCCTCCTCCCCCCCCCCAGAACAAACAACAACAATACATGGTTTTGAGGGGTTAAAGCGGACAACCTTGGTGATGCTTTAGGCTCCTAAAATTACAACGGAAGTGGTCAGGATTAAGACCGCTTTCCGGGCAAAGCGAAGTGCGGCGTGACTATGCCCGCCCTGAGTTGCCACCCTACTTTCACAGAACCCTAAACCCTACCTGGAACTCTCTTTGCCAACAGTTTTATGGGTTTTACCTACTCATGAAGGGGTAGTTACTACTAAATTGTCGGTACGTAGAGACCAAGGTAAACCCTAAACCCTAAACCGGTGGCCTTCGTGGCAGTGGACCAAGACCTTTCCTCCAGCCTCTTCTGCCTCTGCGATAACCTGGAGAAGGGCTGCAAGGCGTAGTGTGTAAACCTCTGGGTTGGCAGTTTATGGTTCAGGGTTTGGGTTTAGTTGGGGTTTAGGGTTTAGGGTTTAGGGTTTAGGGTTTAGGGTTAGGGCTTCGGGTTTTGGGCTACACGCGCCTTCAGGGCAGCTTTCAGGGTCGCGGACAGGTCCTGGTTCTCGTGATCCGGCAGGGCCAGTCTCCTGGGCTGCTCTTCAGAAGCTTGCACTCTGTGCTGAACTTGGAACCCTAGCAAAAAGCTTTAAACATCAAAAATTGTTAAAAAAAAAGAAAGCTGTTTCTTAGGAATCATGGTACCCAAAAAATAAACAGGGGGGTTGCGAAAACCAGGGATACGGGTCCCTTGAAGGGTGTCTAAACCGAGGTACTCCTATTTCGGGCCGTATTAAGGACATAGAATAAGTGTTCGACATTGCGGCTTCGGTACTTCAGACGACTTGAAACCCTCGACCCTAAACCTGAAAAAAACCTTCTATATCTCAGGGTAGATATACAGTCGCTTTAAAATATATAAGGAACCAGATTAAGGGACCATGCAACTTCAACTAGACAATGGCAACCCAGGTCTCTGCCACTTGAGGCCAGCAAGCTCCTCATCACTCGGGGCAGGGAGATCTTCGGTGCAGTTCAAGATGTGCGTCCCACCCATCTTGCGGAGCAAATGCAAGCAGAGGCTCGTGGCACCACCCACAAACCTGAGCTCAGGGTTTCGGCTTTGGGGGCTAAGGGGTAAGTGCTTAGGGGCTTAGGGGCTTAGGGGCTCAGGGGCTTAGGGGCTTAGGGGCTTAGGGGCTTAGTGGCTTAGGGCTTAGGGTTTGGGGCTTAAGTCTGGCTTGAGTCGGCGCACTGACCATCACTGCCTTTTGCAAGCATGCTTGCAAAAAACAGAGCAAGATACCAGACCACACTGCATACAAACACCCCTTCAAGTGTCAGATTCCGGACCCAAAACGTATAAACCATAAAGGTCACAATGCTGGCCAGCAAACCTGCCGAAGCCCCTTAGCTGATCTGCTCCCAATCAAAGCCCCAAACCGCTCCGGCTATTCCTCAGCAGCCTCGCTTGAAACCCTCAACCCTGAAACCCCAGAACCAGCTCCAAAGCCCAAAACCATCATCACAACTTACCCTTAACCCTAAACCCTAAACCCTAAACCCTAAACCCTACACCCTAAACCCTAAACCCTATACCCTACTGTTGCTGAAGTGCTGAAGCCGCGTCCGGGGAACAGTGGGGCCTTTGGTGCTAAGTCTGCCGGTCTCGAGACAGATCCCGCCATGTGCAGCACTTTGATGCGGCTTGTGAGCTGCCTGAGCCGCACCTCGTTTAGGGTTTAGGGTTTAGGGTTAGGGTTTAGGGTTTAGGGTTTGGGGTTTAGGGTTTAGGGCTGAAGATTTATAGGCTTGCCTCTGCTAAGCTTAGGATGGTTTAGGAGGCGAGGCCTTGCATTAAGCAAAGGTATGTGTTGCTGAGCAGGATTCCGACAAATGGCTCCGGCTTTGTTGAGGGGAAGGGGCGTCGTCGTGCTAGGGTAAACCTTGAACCCTAAACCCTATGAACCCTAAACCCTTTGAACCCTATGAACCCTACGAATCCTAAACCCTATCAACACTCGACCCTATGAACCCGAGACCTCATAAACACTCAACCCTAAACCTTATGAACCCAAACCTCTACACTTCATGAAATCTAGGAACCCTACACCCTAAACCCATAACACTTCAAATATGAACCCTAAACCCTAAGTTCTAAACCTCTTGAACCCTATGACAACCCTAAGACCTATAAACCCTATGAAAACTAAACCCTCTAAACCCTACAAACCCTACACCCTAAACCTTAGGAACCCCATGAACCCTAAACCTTATGAAAACTAAACCCCACAAACCCTACAAACCCTGTAAACCCTATAAACCCTATAAACCCTCTGAACCCTCTACACCCTCTAAACCCTATGACAGCTAAGCCACGAACCTTATGAACCCCAAACTCTAGAATCCTAAACCCTATAAACCTATAAACCCTATGAAGAATACGTCCACCCTAAACCCTAAACCCTAAACCCTAAACCCTAAACCCATCTTCTGAACCCTCAGCCCGGAACCCATCTCAGCTCAGGGGCCAGAAGCTCGTACGCGTCCGGCACCGGATTCAGGACGCTCGCACCCAAGAAGCCGCGGAAGGAGAAGGATGCCTTCAGTAGGGATGTAGAGTTTGAGGTTTAGGGTTTAGGGTTTAGGGTTTAGGGTTTAGGGTTTAGGGTTTGGGGAATTTGGGGATTGGAGTTTAGGGTTTAGGGTTGCCTGGGACTCGATTTACCTGCAGTTTAGTAGTAGCTACCCCTTAATTAGTAGGCATAATCCATTCGAGCTGTAGGTAAAAGAAGTCTGAGGTGGTTCCCGCAACTCGAATCAAAATACCAGAAGCTGGAGACCAAGTGGCGTTTACTTCAAAAGGGGGTACCCGTTTTTGAGGGGGTTACCAAACATTAGAGAATCCAGATTTTGAGACATGCCCACGTGGACTACTTATTGCATATCCTTGTGGTATAAGATTACTGTTTACCTACGGTTTAGCAGTAACCACGCCGGAACTGGAGGTGTCACCCATGAAAACTGTAGGTGAGGAGAGTCCCAGGTAATTTAAGTGACCTAGCCGGAAGCCCCAAATAGTAGGATCCCCTTACAATAAGGTACACCGAATTTCGGAAACTCCCCACATGCCCTAAACCCTAAACCCTAAACCCTAAACCCTAAACCCTAAACCCGCTTGGAAAGTTACTTTAAAGCCAAAGCTGCGCGGAGTTGGCGGCGCGCGGCCCACTCGTCCACGGCCTTGGCGAGGTTCTGGGTCTTTTCTCGCAGAAGGTCCTGGGCTGTCATGGCTCTTTGGGATATGCGCTTGCGGGGTTTGGGGCTAAGGGCAATAAGGGTGATAAGGGTAGTAAGGGCAATAAGGGTAGTAAGGGTAGTAAGGGTACTGAGGGTAATAAGGGGAATAAGGGTAGTAAGCGTAATACGGGTTAAGGGTTAAGGGTGAAGAATTGGAGGTGGGCCGGGGAACATCTGTTCGTTGCAGGATGTCCTTTCTCAAAGCCCTTGCATAGAAGTTTTACCACATGGCAAGTTTTCCACAACCCCTAAACCCTAAACCCTAAACCCTAAACCCTAAACCCTAAACCCTACTGCTCCGTGTGCATGGTTTTAAGATCTGCTCCCAGCGCGGAGCCCATGGAACCCAGAACCCCAATCCCAATGCAACTTGTCAATGGTTCACCACGTTTAGGGTTTAGGGTTTAGGGTTTAGGGTTTAGGGTTTAGGGTTTAGGGTTTCCCCGCGATGCGCCTGCCTGTCAGCTTGTGACATCGCACTCCCTTGCTTGGTTGCCCTATGTCCAGCCTTATACAAAAGCCTATAAGGCCTGTTAAACCCAAGAAAGCCTTGTACAGAAACCTCTAACCCTTCTACAAAAGCCTATATAAGCCCTGCTCAACCCAAGAAAGCCTTATACAAAAGCCTCTAACCCTAAACCCTAAACCACCCCTAAACCCCTAAACCCCTAAACCCCTAAACCCCTAAACCCCTACACCCCTAAACCCCTAAACCCCTAAACCCCCCAAGCAAATCCTCAAAGGCGGCTGCGGAACCTGCCAACTGGCGAGCCTCTCTTTGAAGGCGTCGGGCTTGGCGCCCTCCTGGCTCAAGTCCCGGAGCTCTGCCGTGTTGCTCAACCTTATAGGATTTCCCCAGGGCTCTCCTCTTTACCTATAGTTGGTTTAGGGTTTAGGGTTTGGGGTTTAGGGTTTATAGGGTTTAGGGTTTAGTAGTAGAAACCCCTTCATGAGTAGGTAGAACCCAGAAAACTGTAGGTAAAGAGAGTCCCAGGTAGGTTTGGGGTTTCGACTCTCACACTCGCGCACGGCCGGCAAGGCATCGGTTGGAAGGTCCTCTGGTCCATTGAGGTTTGGGGTTCAGGGTTTAGGGCTTAGGGTTTAGGGTTTAGGGGGCGTAGGGCTCGGTTTTTTGCCACCCGTCTAGCCATGCTCAACGGGGCAACTGCAGGGAGACTGCTTTGCACACTGCAATTCGGAGCCCAACTGCACGATATTTCAACAGCAAGGTACTGGGCTCAAACCCTAAACCCTAGAAACCCTACACCCTAAACCCTAAACCCTACACCCTAAACCCTTAATTGGGGCTTAGGGTATCGACTCTAGGGTTTAAAGGCATTTAGATCATGCTGGGGCTCTGGGTTGTTGGGGTCTAGAAACTCTGGGTTTGGGTGGCCGCCATTTGGAGAAGTGCGCCCCAACCGCAAAGATTCCCGTTTAGGGTTTCGGGTTTAGGGACCTGGGCCAAGTCGACAAACCTGGGGCTCTCTTTACCTGCAGTTTAGGGTTTAGGGTTTAGGGTTTAGGGCTACCTGGGACTCTCTTTACCTGCAGTTTTATGGGATATACCTACCAGTTAAGGGGTAGCTTCTACTAAACTGTAGGTAGAGTCCCAGGCAGAGTATGGCCTTTGGCACCTAAACCCAAATCCTTACTAAACCCTAAGCCCTAAGCCCTAAACCCTAAACCCTAAACTTCCTAAACACCTCCAGGTCACTTTAGCTCCGGCCGGCTGGGCGAGTTCGCGCGCAGGTCGATCAGGTCGGCCTTGAAATTCTCAATCCAGGCGTGTACCACGTCCGTAATCCTTTGTTGATCGGCTATTTTCATGGGTTCCCCTACCACCCCCCACTGTTCCCCCGTAATTAAGGCTGTGAAGGGATAATTGAGCCTCATTAAGGATATTTAAGGGGGGAGGGGGGGTAGTATAGAGTAGGGTTTAGGGTTTCCCAAATATCATCCTCTTAAACCCAATACGGGAATATACAAATATCATCCCAACAAGGGAAAAAATAGAACGATGGCCCTCTTAAACCCAGAATAAGGGAAAATAGGAAGATATTCCCAGGGTTTAGGGTTTAGGGCTTAGGGTTTAGGGAAGTTTAGGGTTTAGGGTTTAGGGCCCACCGAGGCTCATCTCCAACAGGCCTTGCTCCTGAACTGCAGCAGCCAATGCCGCCTTCGCGCCCTCGTTGAAGGCCTTGACACTACCTTAGTTGCTCCAGTAACCTGGGGAAATTAAAGGTGAACCTTTGGGAGTTTATAGGGGATTCTACTACCCCAAAAAGCTACCTTAGCTGTCCAGAAACCTTAAGATGAATTAAAGGTTAACCTAAGGTTGACCTTTGGGATTTTAACAAGGATGTGAATATCCCAAAAAGGATACATGTTACATTTGGGGCTTTTTAAAGTTAAAACACCCTAAAGGGATTTGAATGTCCCGAAAAAGGTTAAAGGTTACCTGCTCCTCTACGAAGCTACTCATGGCGCCGGCAGCCTCTGCCTTCTCCTTGCCACCATAGCGCTCGATCCACGCGTTCTCCTCGGCTTTGGTTACTCCACTATTTGTATTACTTGTATATTCGTATGATATGATAGGGCCCGAATCGCCTCACCAGCGAGGCTGGTAGGAATTTCGTAGCGCCCCAGTGCCCCTTGTTGCAGATAGCTCGAATGGGAAATGTGGGCACGTCACGAGCCAGATGATTGCATGCGCAGAGATGAAGGATTTGCAGGCGTGCAAGGAGTGCGCTCCAGCATCTTGAGCTACGGCAAGATGGAGTGCCATGCATCAGACAAACATTGCGCTTGCATGTCGCCTGATGATGAGGAAAAGTTGCTTTTCTGCCGCCAGAAATGGGAGTGCCCAGAGCGGATCTTCCTCAGCAGGACCCGCACCTTCACTGTTCAGGTTTCGGCAGCGATTGACAACGTACAAGCAAAGGACGGCGTCTCAGCCAATCATCAGAGCCTCATCTGTGCATGCGAGCAATGGGAGGATGGCAACGCGTTTTCAGGCTACGACGTCCAGCAGGAGGCCATGCTTTCTCTGGCGCTACACCTATGCGGTGGCACGCAGTGCTTCGAGAAGACGCTGGCCGACATGACCAACGTGAAGGCGACGACCCAGGACACGGTGTACATCCAGCACTTCATCCTTGCAAGAATGCAGTTGGAGGACGGCTGCGCGATTTCAGACCACGTTTCGGTGCTCCACCTGGTGCTACACCTACGCGGTGGCACGCAGTGCTTCGACCTGGCGCTGGCCGACACGACCATCTCCGCCCACATGAAGGCGACGACCCAGGGTGCAGCGAACACACCACCCATTCAGTGGCGCCTCATCTTTGCAAGCGAGCAGCCGGACGACAGGGAGTTCATGCTCTACGTGATGCTCCCCCTGCTTGGTAGCATGCAGACCTTCGTGACGACCCTGACCAGCAAGACCATCACGCTGGTTGTTGAGGCTTCCAAAGCGTTTGGCAATGCGAAGGCGCAGATTGCGGATAAGACGGGCATCCCACCGGAAAAGCCGCGCCTCATCTACCCAGGTGGGCAATGGGAGGATCGCCGCTCGCTTTCAGACCATAAGGGGTTCACGCTCCACTTGGCGCTCGCCCTGCTTGACGGCACGCAGACCTTCGTGGCGACCCTGACCAGAAAAAACCATCACCCTGGTTAGCCGTGCGACCCCTCCTGAAAGATGTGACATGACGGGCTTTGGCTCTTCGTTTTCCGTTTGTGTACACGCTGTCACTGCACATTTGGGAATGTGTGAGCGGGCACAGATTTTTTGAAGTGTGGGGCGTGTTAGCTTTGTTCTTGCCTCTCCCAGCCCCTGGAGGAATGCTCAAAGCTGGACCGCAGGGAAATCTCATGATCAGGTCTCCCTGTTGTCCTGTAGATATGTTGCTGGCTTCGTGGTCGTTCATGGGCCAGCGCTTGTTGTTACACTTTCGAAGGGTCCCTCTCCTTTCTCCACATGAATAGTTTTGGCGCTTTTCTGCTCATGGAGCTTGCGCGACGCTGCTATACCAGTATGCCTTTTTGTGCATAGGCTGGGTCCGCAGATTTCTGCTCCAGGGATGGGTTCCTCGTGTTACAGGCGTGAGGGCCTCCTTGAGTGCAAACTGTTTCAAACCTGAATTTAATGCATGAATTTTGGGCTACGTCCAATATGGACTTGGATCGCCAGACAAAGACAAAAGATATGATATGATATGCATATAACTATGTGATTGTATGACAATATGTTCGTATTAGTGTCTTATCATAAGCCCTCACAGATATGATTGTATGACTATGATTTTCGTATTCGTGTATCATGAGAACCCCTCACAGGACCGAATAGACCTGACTCCCGACAGGTTTCGGTGGCTCCTGGCTTGCTTTCTTGAGTTGGCCCAAGTTGGCTGCATGCTTTGGGGGGGGGGGGGGGACACAGTGAAATCATAAAGCCACTCTCCCCTATGTTCTTACTATTCCAAAACAGTCCTTCCTACTGGGTATATGAACCACAGCTTCTATAAGCCCTAAACCCTAAACCCTAAACCCTAAACCCTAAGCCCTAAACCCTAAACCCGAAACGGGGTGTCGGGACCCAAGGCCCATTCAGGGTTCTCGCCGTCACCCCAAGGTAAAGGCAGGGCTTAAGAGGCTTAAGAGGTATAAGGAGGGACCCCTAATCTTACTCCCCTATATAACCCCCATATATACCTTACATAGTCCCTATATGCCGAAGTTGCCTAAATCATCCCCAAAGAACCAACCCTAAACCCTAAACCCAAAACCCCAACCCTAAACTCTAAACCCTTCTTTTACGGCTGGGACTGCTGCACTGCCTGCCTGCGACCTTCTCAGCACCCGAAACCCTAAACCCTAAACCCTAAGCCCTAAACCCTAAACCCTAAACCCTAAACCCTAAACTCAAGGGTCCCTCCTTTAGTCCCTTGCAAGGCCCGGTGTCGTTGGTGGCCCAGTCGGCCTTGACGGCCTCGGCCGCCGAGGCGTTGCAGCTCAGAGATTCTGTCAGGACCTGAAAGGTTTAGGGTTTAGGGTTTGGGGTTTAGGGTTTAGGGTTTAGGGTTTGGGGTTTGGGGTTTAGGGTTTGGGGTTTAGGGTTTGGGGTTTAGGGTTTGGGATTTGGGGTTTGGGGTATAGGGTTTAGGGTTTGGGGTATGGGGTTTAGGGTTTGGGACCCAGCTCTTGAAACAAGTTGTGAAGCTTCGTTTTGGTGAAGATTTGGGGAGCTCGACTCTTGTTATGCTTTTGTGCCACCCGCCTGGCTGACTGCAATAGTGAGGGTTTAAGAGGATGCAGTGAACCCTAAATTCCTAAACAGGGGGCTAGGGCTCAGGGGTGTCGGGCCGAAAACCGAGGTCTCGCCTAGACCCTTGTTCAGAGTACTGACCCGACTCCGAAAAGAAGGTCTCCCTCCCAAACAAAAAAGGGGGAACACAAAAGAAAGCAACACATAGTAGGGTTGATCCACCCCCTGAAGATGGCAGCCCTACCTTAGATACCCACTATCCGCCAATTCGGGGTTTCCGAGATTTAGGCTTTTAATTCAAGTTGGAATTGTACTCTGTTTCCAGGGGAGTTTTTAAGGGGCACCACCACTTGAACTCGTAATTGTGGTTCCTTTGTCTTGGGAACCTTACTTTTACAGACAACGTTATACCCTTTTGAAGCCCCCAAACTCCAAAACCAACCCTATAATTACGTCTAAGCCCTCAACCCAGAACCCAAACAGGGCAAGCAGGGCACCCACCTAAAAAAGGAGCTAACATTGGGGGGGGGGGGGGGGGGGGGGGAGGTCGACCCTGGTTTAGGGTTTGGGGTTTGGGTTTAGGTTTTAGGGTTACGTCGCGGGCTGAGGGCTTAGGGGTTTGAGGTTCAGGTTCAGAGTCTTGGGAGCCTAAACTTCAGGGCTACGGATGATTTACATACACATATTTGACAAGGCAGTAGCAAAGATTGAGCCTGAACACCCTGAACACCTGAGCCCTACAAACCCTAAACTCGAAACCCAAAGGGTTCGGGGAGGGGCCCTAAACCCTAAACCCTAAACCCTAAACCCTAAACCCAATGGTCCTAAAGCCCGCCTGCTGTGCGCTGGCCCGATCCAGTAGTACCAGCTCCAGGAGGTACGCGGCTTTCTGATCCATCTCTCGAACCAATCTGCAGGTTGAGAGTTTTATAGTCGTGAGTATACCGATTTTGTTCATTTGAAGCCTTACAAGGTTGGCCCTTTGCAAAATTCCTTCAAATGGGATCTTCTTCGGGGTTTAAGGCTTCGACCCTCACTCTGGTTTTGGGTTTAGGGTGTAGGTCCAATAAAGGACACTACCAAATGAGTAAACATGCCAAGGCCCTGTCTAGAACAGGGCGAGGGACCTCTACCCCCCCTTGCGCCACAATACGCCTACAATGTTTGTTATATTGATCGAAAATGAAGCGAATTCCTGCCCTCAACGCTAACTGGGACTCTCTTTACGTACAGTTTAATGGATTCTATATACTTACTAATTAAGGGGTAGCTACGACTAAACTGCCCTAAACCCTAAACCCTAAACCCTAAACCCTAAACCCTAAACCCTAAACCCACAAGCCAAAAGCCCGGAGATTGCCCGAGGCACAGCTTCGGAGGGCGTCGCGCGACAACCGCGTCGATGGGAACACAGCGCGCTGAGCTCCAGAGAACCTGTGAGGTTGAGGGCTTAGGGTTGTTGGCTCTTCTCTGGGGGGGCTTTAGGGTTTAGGGTTTAGGGTTTAGGGTCTAGGGATTGAGGTTTCGAGTTTGAGGGTTCAGGGGTTAGGGCTTTGAGGTTTACCGTTTGGGGTTGAGGGTTTAGTAGGCCAGAGGGTTTGGGGCTATTGGGGGGTTGTAGGGTTTGGGGTTATTGGAATAAGGCATAAAGCAGCCTTTAGTAGAATAGAAAAGAATCATGTGGTCATACATTTCAGATGCTTCTGCCTTTCTGCTCACAATGTTGGGCCCCATATTTACTAGTCCCCCTTCCCCGACCCACAAAAGGCACCCGGCGCAGGCGTGCACGCGTTAGCTTCTCGCGCGACAACACTCCGTCTAAGACTTTGCACCCCACAAACATCTACCGGCTACCCGGGACACCTGGGCCTTTTTGCGCGGGCTTGCAAAAGGCTCGCCCCTTCGCCCGGAGTCGATGCCACTGAAACCCGAAACCCTGCTAAACCCTAAACCCTAAACCCTAAAACAGCAATAGCAACTCTTGTTTTATTTGAACTGCAGGCTTGAGAAAAACACGAATTGAACCGGGCGTCTCACATTCTCACCTAGGTTAGCCCTTTGAACCAGTGTAGGGCTTGGACTTCGGGTGTAGGGCTTATGGGGGTTTAGGGTTTAGGGGTATCGGGTTACTGGTGTAGGGGCTATATCAAGTCTTGGCCGCGTCCTGGTCTCAGGTTTCGATTTCGAGCTTACGAGTAGGCTAGACCCAGGCGTAACCTAGGAATGAAAATGGCGCCCTTTTGGCTTAAACCCTAAACCCGAAACCCTAAACCCTAAACCCGGAGCCTATACCCTAAGAAAAAGGGAATAAGGGCCTAGACTGGGGCCACAATCTTGAGGTTCAGGGTTTAGGGTTATTGTTGAAGGTGGAACACCAATTGCTATATATGTAATCGGGGTCCCTACTTGGGTAGTTATAGAAAGCGACACCGTTGTAATACGGATACGAAAAACCCCCCAAACCCTTCTTCTAAACCCGACCTAACTCCTAAACCCTAAACCCTAAACCCTAAAGCCTCAACAAGACTGAGACCAGGGCGTTGCCAGGATTGCCGCGCCAACCCAGGGAGTGCAGAGGCAGCCGATCGGCATTGCCCAGCAACAAGTCCAGAATGAACCTCGGATGATGGGGTCCTTAAGGGTGGGGGGGTTTTCATTGCGGGGTTTAGGTTTTAGGGTTTAGGGTTTAAGGCTTAGGGCCCTTAAGGGTGGGGGGGGTTCATGGGGGGGGGTAGGGGTAGGTATGTATCAGGAATGATTAGGGTTTAGGGTTTAGGGTTTAGGGTTTAGGGTTTAGGGTTTAGGGTTTAGGGAGCTTTCGGGTTTGCTCAGGGTTGAGGGCTCGAGGAGGAATCGGCCCGCCAGGAAAGCTACCTGGTTTCGGTCGACGCAAAGATCGGAAGCCAGAACGGCTGAGTCGGAAACCCGCAACGGACGGCTAAATCGGAAACCAAGAGGCCGCAAATCACAAACGCGGCTGATTCGGATGGGATGCTCTGAATTTCCTGACACGCCTTCCATCCCCCCACCCCTCACTCCGCAACTCCCCCCACCCCAGATTCTGCCGCACAGTTTCTGATTTGCCCTGGTTTCTGATTCGTAGTTCGATTTGGGATTCACCAAGCGGAATCAGAAAGACCAGCCTGCTCGCGGAACCAGCCTGCGGCTGGTTTCGGATTGGTGGTTGCTGACCAGCACCCTAAGCCCTAAACCCTAAACCCTAAACCCATCTGATTCGCAAGCTGGCTTCCGATTGCCACTGATCGGGGTTTTGGGGAGCTTGCTCATGCGCGGGCGATGAAGATTCGGCTTGCTTTTGGCAGCATCGGCTGTGAAGTTCTCCCAGCTACTGCCCTGCTGTAGCAGGCGCATGTCCCCTAAACCCTAAACCCTAAACCCCAAACCCTAAACCCTAAACCCTAAACCCAAAACCCAAAACCCTAACAGAACCGAGCAGCAATCGACCCAGGGCGTGGCAGGACTTGGCCAGATTGGGTCCAGTGAAGGCATCGACTTCGTTTTCCAGGTTTTGCCCAGGAACAAATTGCAGCCTTGGTAGTTAGGGTAAACCCTAAACCCTAAACCCTAAACCCTAAACCCTAAACCCTAAACCCTAAACCCTAAACCCTAAACCCTAAACCCTAACCTTTGTTGAGGTTGGTTTGCTTTACAAGGGCTCCTTGAGCCACAGCAAAGGCAAAAAGGGTACCACTGGGCTACCAAGCCGCAGAAGCATCGACATCCTCAGCTCATCTGGCCAATTCTCTAAACCCTAAACCCTAAACCCTAAACCCTAAACCCTAAACCCTAAACCCTAAACCCTAAACCCTAAACCCTAGACCCTAACCCTAAACCCTAAACCCTAAACCCTAAACCGTTTTCGTCCCTTTTTTTGGCTCCCTAAATTGGAGTGGCCTTCGTTAATAAGGAACCCAGGTTGGACCATATTCCAGGGTCAGGTGGTTTTAATGTAGGTCCTGTCATTAGATGCTGAAGTCCCTGCAACCTGAAGAACCTGACTAGGGTGCCAGCCTCCTACCAGCGCAGTGGCCGATTTCGGATTTTGGGTTTCGCACCCTAAAAACAGACAACAGGGTTTCTTCGGTAGGAGAAAGCATCTTCTTCTCCAGAATCTCGGCCAGTTGTGGGCAAACCTGTTCTGCTGTTCGTGATGCTGGTCATAAACCCGGTCTTCAGCTATCAATCCCCAAGCCAACTTTTCAGGACATGCCATACTTCTGACAGCCTTGTCGCGGCGGGGGGATGTCGCAGAACCGACCCTTATGGCATCCTTTCTTTCGGGCATGGGGGGGGGGGGGGGGGCGGCCCGCGGCGTGCTGCCTGGCATACTCGCCTGCTGCCGTTGTATATTCTTGTTTGGGTTTAAGTACATAAACAAAGTAAATACATATGTACGAATATATGCATGATTATACATGTATAGCGTCATCTTACGGAGAATACAGCGACTGATGCTTAATTCTAACTAGCGAGGTCCCCCGGAAATGCGACAAGTAATATTGTGGCCATCCAATGTTTTGGCAAGGTAACGGTCCAAACCACATCCTAAACCACCACCGGACTCTCGCGTCCACTCCCTATGTGGGCGCACGGATCAGAACGCAAAAGGGCCCGTTAAACTTTAAGCCCACTAGTATTATAGGGGCCTTAAGGTATGTAGCCCAAGCTTTAAAAGTACTCCCCCGCTACTCCCTAAGGCCTCCTAGGCTTCCCCAAGGTTCCTAGGGACGCCTCCCTTCAGAAGGGCAACTGGGACTTCGGACGTCTCAGCCAAACCTTCTCTTCAAACGCCAGGCCATCAAGGAAGCATAAGCCCACGAAACCATAAACCCTAAACCCTAAACCCTAAATCCTAAACCCTAAACGCTCCCTTGAGAACCCACAACCTTCATAGTTTGAAGGGCACATCACAGGGATGATGCCATAAGAGCCCAGAAGAAGGAAGGTTTGGGGCTCTCAAAGGTTACCTCTAGACCATGAGCCCTAAAACCCTGAACCCTAAACACCTAACCCCCTCAACCCAAACCCCTAAAACCCTAAACCCTAAACCCCAGGTGGGCCGGCGGCCTCTGCTGCCCGGGATTGCAGCTGCTGCCACTCCTGGGCTAGGGTTTAGGGTTTAGGGTTTAGGGATTAGGGTTTAGGGTTTAGGGTTTAGGGTTTAGGGTTTAGGGTTTAGGGTTTAGGGTTTAGGGTTTAGGGTTTAGGGTTTAGGGTTTAGGGTTTAGGGTTTAGGGTTTAGGGTTTAGGGTTTAGGGTTTAGGGTTTAGGGTTTCTGGTTTAGGGTTTAGGGTTTAGGGTTTAGGGTTTAGGGTTTAGGGTTTAGGGTTTAGGGTTTAGGGTTTAGGGTTTAGGGTTTAGGGTTTAAGGTTTAGGGTTTAGGGTTTAGCGTTTAGGGATTTACGGTTCATGTGCAAAACATGTCGGGACAAAAACAAATCTTTGAACCCATGCACCGCATTCATCTTGCGCGGAGCACGTCAGCCGCCCTAAACCCCAAACCCCAAACCCCAAGAGTACCCTTTTTGGTTGAAAGGGCCTCAGTAGAGGAATCTAAACCCTGAACAGAGGGAATAACGGCCTACTCTAGGTCCCAGTTGCCCTATGAACCCTACACCCCCCCGCCCCCCCAAAAAAAAAAAGGAATAAGGGCCTCCTCTGGATCCTAGTTACCCTAAACCCTAAACCCTAAAAAACACACAAGCAAAAAAGGAATAAGGTCCTAATCTGGGCCCTGTAAGGAGGGTTCCCCTTACTATACTAACTGTAGTTAAGGGGCGTATCACCTAACTTAGGATCCTTAGAACCTACTTTAGGGCCCTTAGAACTCTACTTGTAACTAAGGGGGGCCCCTCCTTATCTACAGTTAGTATAGTAAGGGGGCCCTTCCGGCTACAAAGAGACCAAAGTTCTGCTGTGTCGTGAGGCTTGAGGAGGATCCGGGACGCTGGCCCAGGGATGCCTTGGGCTGATAGGTTATAAGAGTTTGGGGTTTATGGTTTAGGGATTGGGGTTTAGGATTTGGGGTTTAGGGTCTGGGGTTCGGGATTGGGGGTCTTAGGGTTTGGGGTTTAGGGTTTGGGGTTTAGGGATTGGGGTTTAGGGTTTACGGTTTTAAGGTTTAGGGTATGGGGTTTAGGGTCTGGGGTTTGAGGCGTCGGGTTGGGCTTTGCGGTTTACTAACCATTCCTATGGCTCCCAGGAATCTTAAAACATCAAGTTGTTATGACTGCTACTAAACAGATTAAAGCGCGACTATTGGCTAAGCAAGTTTAGGGTTTGGGGTTGGGGGTTCGACTTTTTTGTTTTGCCATTTTGGGGTTTGGAAGATTTTGGGAGGTTGGGGGGGTTTTGTTGTTTTTTTCAGAATCTTATAGTATAGGGTTCTGAAAGGGGGGGGGGATCATGGGGGGTAGGTACCTGGTGAAAAACCTTATGGGGAGCATTAGGGGCCCTTGGGTTACTTTCCACCCTTGAACCCCTCTCCCTTAAGAGCCCGATAATTAGAGGGGCTTGGGGTTTAAGTTTTTTGGAGGGGGCTTCTACAGTTGGGTTGCCAGGGTGTTCAGGGCAGGGGCAGGAAGGTGCCGGAGGCTCGGACACAGACTTGGGGCTGCTTGGCCGGTATGAGATCACCTTCAACCCTAAACAAAAGCCGAACAACCTGTAGCGACTTCAAAAGCACGTTCTGTGCACTCACACTCAGTGTTTCCTTTGGGCTCGCAGCTTAACAATCACTCGTTCCATGAGCTCCTCGCCCATAGTGCGTTGGTGGTCCCTAAACACGCAGGGGCCGCCCGCCGGCCCCTAAGACACGCCCCGCCCAGCTACTCTGGGTACACCTCACACACTGCGGTCGACAAACCAGAACTCCATTTGGCCTTGAGCCACAACACGCAACGCAGCGGCGGTGAGGTCTGACTGAGGTGGGGCGCAAGAACGAACACCGTTCACCTAGCCTGCCCGAAGCACAAAACAGCATGCAGGAGCCTTTCAGTGGATCTCGGCTCATGGTTTCGTTCAAGAGTGAAGCTCCAAAACCCCGGAACCCTGAGCGCGTCGAGCCGAGTCCTGGGGTTATTTCTTGGGGTATTCTGAGGGCCCACCTGCACCCTCAGTTGTAGTTCCGTTTCTTGGGCGCCTAACTTGCTATAGTTCATATGTCTTATGCAACAAAAACTGAGGAAACACCCACAAAGAGCTACACTTCAGGGTTCAGGTTAACTAGGTAGCGTTTAACACTGGGCCAGATCGCATCATTTTGAGAACTGACCCTACAGACCCTAAACCCTAAACCCTAAACCCTAAACCCTAAACCCTAAACCCTAAACCACTCAAGAGGGCTTTGGAGCTTCGGGCTGCTGAGGAGTTCAAGGCAAGCTTCCCAAATGCCGCGCAAGCTCAGCAGCCATCTGCTCAGACTGCAGGACGTAGCGGTTGTTGCAGAATTTCAGCACGACCGCCTTTCTGTGAGATCCGAGGCACATCTACTCTAGGAATTCAGGGTGTGCGAGCTTGAAGGTGTACATATAATAAGCCCTGCACCCGAAATACAGTCCGGGCGGTAGTTCGGAGTTCAGGATTTGCAGCTCTTGTGGGATTACAAGATCAGGGTCCATCCTACGCCGCGGACTGATGCAAATAAGAGCCCTGAACCCTGAACCCTGAACCCTGAACCCTAAACCCTAACCCTAAACCCTAAACCCTAAACCCTAAACCCTAAACCCTGAACCCTGAACCCTAAACCCTAAACCCTGAACCCTGAACCCTATACCCTAAAGGAGCCCATGGCTTGCTTTAGGGTTTCATCGCCCACGCTCGGGCAATCCAGGTGAGGCACTTGCAGTTCCGGGTTTAGGGTTTATAAGGTTTGAGGCTTAGGGTTTATGGGTGAACAACAATCACTGCGCCGTGGAAAACGCCTGTGAACTAGCGGACCTACTTCAGCACCAGCAGTGAAACCTACGAAGCTCGGAACCAAAGTATCTTCAACTTTGCATGCACAATGCACACGCAAGCTGCACAGCGAGAAGGGTCAGGGAGAGGAAATGGCTCAGTGGACCCAAACGACAGTCCTGACTGCTCAGGGTCCAGCAGCGGTTTAGGGTTCACATGCCATTTCATATTTGCAGAGGTGGCTTAGAAGCAGCCTCACTCTCGTTAAAGTTTGAGGCCCCCGCCCAAAGAAAAAAAACCCACCTCAGTAAGCCCTTCCAATGCAGGACTGGCCATTGACAAGACGATGGGCGAATGTCCAAGGTTTTTGGGAGGAAGTATTTGCTGCATTGAAGTTTGTTGTCTCGAGCCTCCGGCCTCCGTCCATGAGCTCCCCCAAACCCCAAAGCCTCACTGACCAAAGCCTTCAGCTTGCAAATGCCGGATCCCAAGCTCTACTAGCCCCTTTCAGTCCTTCATTGAGCAATATGCCTTAATCCATACTTCCAAAATAACTCGGAGCCTGGTCAAAAACTTACCCGCAAGGTACAGATGATTCGGGTCTTGGGCACACCCCCGACTGCCTGCTCCCTGTCCGCAGCGGAAAGTAGGCCAAAGAACACCTGGCCGCCGCTGTTAATCTCAACCTTGCCAGCCGTCTCGTCCTCGCACAGAAGCCCTAAATCCCGAACCCTACATCTTAAACCCTATAGAGTTTAGGGTTTAGGGTTTATAGGGTATAGGGTATAGGGTATAGGGTATAGGGTTTAGGGTTTAGGGTTTAGGGTTTAGACCTTTTGAACTCAGACTGGACTCTGGCTTTCTAGGGCGCTAGCCCTCAGCCCTGTTGCATAAACCCTTTCTTGCGTGACCCCGACTTTCAGCGGCACCCTCTCACTTCAGGCCCGCCAGCAAAGCAGTGCCGACCACACTGGATCGGCAAGATGCAACCCCCACCTAGGGTTTAGGGTTTAGGGTTTAGGGTTTAGGGTTTAGGGTTTAGGGTTTAGGGTTTAGGGTTTAGGGTTTAGGGTTTAGGGTTTAGGGTTTAGGGGGCTTAAAGGAAAGACCCCCTGAACCTGGAAAGGGCTTAGGGCTCCGACGCTTACAATCGGACAAGCCCGGTGAGGCACGCTGTACTCTGTAGCCCGTCATGCATGGACCCTTTGAGGCCTAGGTGGTACGAAGATCCACCAACACGAGCTACGTACCATCCACCAACCAAACTTCATCAATCCAGTACATAGTACATAAACAAATATCCATAAACCCTAAACCCTAAACCCTTTTAAACCCCAAAACCTCCTCAACAGCCCGGCGACTCACCTCTCGTTCTTGATGGCACACAGGTACACTTACGGGACAGGGCCGGATGCACTGAAACAACCTGCGGAGACCCCCTTCCCCCGCAAGGTTTAGGGTTCAGGGTTCAGGGTTTAGGGTTTCGGGTTAGGGTTGCCTCTTGGCCCCCTCCGCCCCCCTCTGCTTCAAGGAGCATGGGATTAGGGAAACCCTTTGCCTAAACCCTAAACCCTAAACCCTAAACCCTAAACCCTAAAACCCTAAAACCCTAAAACCCTAAAACCCTAAAACCCTAAAACCCTAAACCCTAAACCCTAAACCCATTCTGCCGTGGTCCTCCGCGTCGCGTGCCAGGGCCTCAGTCGTCTCGGCGGCAGCGAGCGCCCCCCAGTCTAGTGGGCCTTCGATGAGGGCTTATCGGGCGTTTGCGAGTTTAGGGTTTAGGGTTAGGGTTTAGGGTTTAGGGTTTAGGGTTTAGGGTGTAAGGTTTAGGGTTTAGGGTTTAGGGTTTGGGAGTTTGTAGGGTTTCTAGCCCAGAGGGTCCATTTGTAGTGCCATTCTGGAACTCGGTACCCCGAAACCATACCAAATAGGGCTTTGGGGTAATTCCACAATAAGTATACGCTACAGATGGACCCCCTGGGTAAGATTTGGGTGCTAAGGTTTCGGGCTTGTTGGGAGAGATTAGCTGACCCCAAACCCTAAACCCTAAACCCTAAATCCTAAACCCTAAACCCTAAGGGCAAGTCTGAGGGCTCATTTGTGGAGCTGCATCCTGGGCCTGAAGTGAAAAACCATGAGCTTACCCTAAACCCTTTTGCTTGCCCTAAACCCTAAACCCTAAACCCTAAACCCTAAACCCTAAACCCTAAAATCCTGCTAAGTGCTCCGGGCCTAAGGGCCTAAGTCGGAGGCAGCGCTGAAAAGCAGACTTTGGGCTCCAGGATGGGCTCCACTTGACCAGGGTTTAGGGTTTAGGGTCCAGGGTTTAGGGTTTAATTGTTTAGGTTTAGGGAGGCTTTTCAGGGAACCTAAGCCCACACAAAAGGAATAAGGGTCTAAAATGGGAATACAAGAGTACCCTTTTTGGTTTAGGGGGGAGGGGGGGGGGGCTTATAAGGCAACCTACCCTACAAGAAGGGGGAAGAATCATGTAGCAACCTAGCAAGTTTGTAAAGGGGTACCCATTTTGCTTGAGAAGGTCTTATAAACCTACACCTGTGGAAGAAGAAAAGGGATAAGGGCCTACTTTATGGGTCCTAGCTCAAGATTTTGGGAAGCCTGCCTCAGAACTCGTATGCTTCGAGCCCTGAGCAGGATGCTGAAGATCAGGCACAAGTGCCCTAAACCCTAAATCCTAAACCCTAAACCCTAAACCCTAAACCCTAAACCCCTAAACCCTAAACAAGATTGGACGCAACATGGCGTCAACAGACAGTCAGACACAGTCAGACGCACATCAGGGAACTCAGCCACTGTACCTTCTGACACCCAAGAACCTTACGTGGCTTGCTCCTGTCTCCCAGAATCTGGCCAAAACCTATCGTCAGCAGGAGGGCACTTACCGCCTAAACCCTAAACTCGAATAACCCTAAACCCTAAACCCTAACCCGTAAACCCTAAACCCTAAATCCTAAACCCGAAACCCTAAACCCTAAACCCCAAACCCCGTCCGAAGCCCAGATTCCTTGAGTCGGAGGGTTTAAGGGAGTCCCGACTTTTGGGGGGTTCCCGAAATAGGGGTACACATTTTGGAGGGGGGGGGGGGGGGTCCCTTTTTTGGGGATTCTGTTCGATTCTTGGTTGCTGAGTTCATAAACCCCCCAAAAAAGTGTGCACTTTCAGTTCTCTAAGGGATTATAGTATCCCAAAAAGTGTAAAGTGTACTCACTTAGCTAGTAAGATTTGGGGTATACACAAGGGGGTACCCCTATAGTCCATTTCTCAACAAGCGGCTCTCCACGTCCTTGGCCGGCGACGCACGAGCCAGTCGGTCCCGAAACGGCAGGGAGGCGGGGCAGAGTGTGCGCCTACACTCCCCTTAGAACCTTAATAAGCACAACATCTTTAATATCCTCTTGGGCTTTATATAAAACAAAAAATGAAAAGTCATTCCCAAGAGGGGAATATAGGCGCATGAGCAAGTTGGACCCCGCGTCCGACGGCACCTTGGCTAGCTGGGCTAAGAGCTTCGAGTTAAGGTCTTAGGGTCTTTGTCTTTAGGTTCACCCTAAACCCTAAACCCTAAACCCCAAATTCCTTCGCAAGCCCTTGGCGCCTCGCTGAAGCAGGGAGACATGCCTTCATCCTCCTGCACCAGCGAGGCCATGTCCTCGTTGTTCTCCTGATGTGGGGGAAAAGAAAAGGGTGGAGTATAGAAGGTTTAGGGTTTAGGCTTTAGGGTTTAGGGTTTAGGGTTTGCGGTTCAGGGTATGGGGTTTCATGGTCGAAGGGCGGAGTAGAAGGGGGGAGCACATATAGGAGGTTTCAGCAAGGCCGCAGTCCGGGGGTTGCCTGGTTATTGCTCTTAGTACTTGCGAAAAATTTGGAACTTTGTGAAAATCTGATTAATATCAGCACTCATTATTCTTGAGCTTGATGAGGCCTCATCTCCGGAGACCCGCAACCCCGCGTGGGCAGGGACTCGGTGCAACCCGGAGAAGATGAACCCTTACACTTGGTTTTCTGTTTAGGGTTTCGGGTTTAGGGATATGTATATATGAATTGGGATGTTCCCCCTTTTACTAACAGACCCTGATAGGAATTCTTCTAGGGGGTGCTAGAATCCCCATTAAGGACTGTTAGTATAAGGAGGAACATCCCAAAATAGCAATGTAAACATACCCTTGATATGCAAAGTAAAAAACTTTTCATATGCCATGAAATAGCACACCATGATATAACACAACACAGCATAGTAGAATAAAACCGAATAGATTAGACTAGAGTAGAATTAGAACTCGAATTAGAACGCATAACTCAAAAAACCAATAAAACGTTTATGTGTAGATATAGGGAGACATGTATACTTAATTATGCTTTTGCTCTGTTTCTAGCACTAACCCTCAAGGGTTCGTTTAGTCCCCGGCCAACCCTGACATCTCACACCCAAACCCAAGCTGCTCCTGCCACAACCTGCCCGGGGCACTGCCCCGGAGCATGTCCACCGTGGCTTCCAGCGTGTTGGTGCCCGCCATGGTGGGGGGGGGGGGAGGGTGGGGAGGCACAGAACCCCAAAGCCCCAGAGCCTTGCAGAACCCCATGGAAACCCAAACAAAACCCTGACCTGGAGCAACCTTCTTACCTAGACAAAAAAGGGTCTTGCGCCCAATAGTTGTGGCACCATGTCCCTCTTTTACAACTACAAGGGCTGCCTTGTAGGCAAACCCTAGCCTACTTGGAGGCTCGTGGTACTCAAGAACCAATTATATACAACTGTATTTACAACCCACTTACAAGCCCCCCTTAGTCACCCTAATATGCTAATTGGGTTAGGAGGTGCAGCTACCATCTGGCTAGTAAGTACCATGAACCTCCAAGTATGTGGATCCTTCAAAGAGCCGCTCTGTAGGGTGAGACATCCTAAAGTCGTGATGTGGTGCCTTGGGCAGGAGATCGTCATTTGCTCAGTGGTTGCGAGGGTGGAAGAGATGCCCATGTTTAGGGTTCAGGGTTTAGGATTTGGGGTTTAGGGTTGAGGGTGGAATTCTCCATGTTTGCCTCTGGGGCCACGGAAGCTGTGATCCAAGAAGGCGCAATCATGAGTGTCGGCTCATGGGTTCCGGATGCCCTTCCTCCTTGACCCAAACACCCTTGCAAGGATCCACAAAGTAGATCTCCTTAAGAGTTCCCAAACATGACCCAAGAGTAGTACAGGGTACTACTTGGGGGTGTTACTTTTTGGATTCTTCCAGGGCTCTGGGTAACTGACGTCGCTACCTTTGCATGGTGAGTGACTCTGAACCTAAACCCTTGAAAAAAGGGGAAAATAGGGCCTACTCTGGGTCCTAGTGATTCACCCTAAACCCTAACCCTAAACCCCAAACTCCGTCCGGGATCTCCACGGCCCGAAACCAGGTTCTTGTTCTGAGGGTCTGCTGCGGAAGAATTTCTGAGGAAGGCGCACGACTACAAGAATACGAATTACCCTGCAAACCCCGTGAACCCCCAAAATTGGAATCATATACGAGCCATAAGCCCTTTTGGGTTTCATTTGGTCCTGTATGCACACGCAGACTTACCCAAATACGCAATTCATGCATGACTACACATGGTTGCAACTACGAAAGGCACAGGTAGACCCCAGACATGACCTTGGACGCACCGTGATGCGCGCATCGAATGCTCGAACTGCCTACCTGCTTCACGAATCCGCGATGGGGCCCCCGCAAGACAGCCAAGGTGGTGGTTTTGCCGGCGCCGTTTGGCCCGAGCAGCCCAAAGCACTCGCCAGGGCGGATACCGAGACCTCATCATTCGGAGCAGGAGGTGAACACTAAAAACCATTAAAACAAAAAACAAAACAAAAAAACCTGAAAACCCTAGAAACCCCACAAACTCCAGAAACTCTAGAAACCCTAAAAGCCCCGTAAACCCTATAAACCCTGAACCCTAGCCCTAAACCCCAAACCCTAACCCCTATTACCCCTACACCTTAGGGCTTCTCGAAGGCAGGGCCGCGTCTGGCTGCTTTAGTTTGCCCCAGGTGATATCTTCCAGGTGCTTGCCGCAAGCTTCTTGTTTCAACATATCTTGAGAACTATTCTATCTTGCTATATTCGTAGAGAGCCATCTATTTTTCTCCTATATTGTTATATTTAAAGCTACCAAAGCTAATTTCGATATTCTGGTGTTGTTAGTATATTGCTTTTTTGCATAAAGCCAGCACGCCAGGCTGGCACTCTGAAACATTTACACGACAACCCAACCTCGTTTGATCCAGAATTCGAGGACCGAGCAATGAGCCTTTTTTGCTGATATCCGACATAAAAGCGTCCTCTTAAACAGCTCATGCTTCGGCTCATGTTCCTTGCACGACCACTCGTGCACCTGAACCGTCCTCCCACAGCCTCCGGCACAAACCCCCTAAACTCTAGGTCAGTTCTCTGGAGGGTTGTCCCTTTTGGGGTCCTTACGATAAGGCGGCCCCTCTTACTTAGGGTACAGTACCCAAAAAGGGACCCCAGCTTAGAGAACTGCCCGCATCAATCCTCTGAGTCCAACTTATGACAAGTACGTAATTACCTGTAAAAAACATACATGCAAAAAGACAAGGAAAGCCGAGAAACGCCAAAGCGAGCCCTCTAATGAGCCAGTTTACACCCTAAACAAACCCTAAGCCCTAAACCCTAAACCCTAAACCCTACAACCTAAACCCTAAACCCCCCCCCCCCAATCCCCCCTGCAAACCCTGAAGCCCTCCGGGGAGCACGGCTGATGCCGCGCACTGCGTGGGTCTGCACCCACCGCTTCTGGACCTTCGTCCTGGTTTGAGGTTTGGGGTCTAGGGTTTAGGGTTTAGGGTTTAGGGGCTAAACGCAACGAATATCTCTTTCTAGGATGGGCTCTTCGGCCTTACAGTCCCCAGAATCAATCCTACAAGGGGCCTTTGTATTATGCGAGCCTGGGGTTCAGGGTTCGGAGCTTGTAGGGCTTAGGGAAGAATTATGTTGGGAAATCTTCGCATGTGGGGCGGGGGGAGGAGGGGGTGTGGGTGTGGGGGGGGCGGGGGGGGGGGGCCTAGGGGTTAGGGTTTAGGGTCTAGGGCTTAGGGCTTGGGGTTTAGGTTTTAGGGTTTAGGAATCGATCGTACTTGCCCGGTCAGGTGGGTTAGAAGCGCTACCAAGGTGGCTAGCAAAGCTGCTCTTGCCTAGTTCATGGCTGGGATAGTATTAAAAATTAACATGTCCATTCCTTACTGGGTTTAAGCACCTTTAAAAATGCAAAATGTTTCCCAACTATGAGGCAATGTTACGGATTTACTTGGACTCCTGGGAGCACCTCGAAAGCTCTTTTCTCCGAAGGTTTCGAAGGTTCTCCTGCCATCTGGTGTGGCTTCGGGGACTGCTTGGCGAATCGTTTCTCTTCAAGCAGCTTCTCTTGACACGTCTCGAGTTGGCCCAGCTCTACGTGCTTCTACAAGGAGGGGGGCCCCCCTACTATACTAACTGTAGTTAAGGGGCTTGTAACCCAATTTAGGATCCTTATAACCCAACTTAGGACCCTTATAACTCTACTTATAACTAGGGGGGGGGGCCCTCCTTGTATATAGAGCTTGGAAATAGGGTCCAGCTCAGACCCACCGCAACTATACATGGTTCTCCGGCGGAGTAGGGCAACTACTATCCGTAAATGCAGGGTGAGACGCGGCATACCGAGAATCCCCTCTCCGTGCTGGGCATTCGAACCAAGGGAAGACCTTCGTAGGGACCCAAAGAATGCTCCCCAAACCCTAAACCCTAAACCCTAAACCCTAAACCCTAAACCCTAAACACAGTACGCAAAACCTTGGCTGCAAGCGAGAGAGACCTCACTGAATTGGAGGATTTTGGACCCTCGTCTGAATTCGTTGTAGGCCGGGCAGCCGCTGGCAACACGCACGAAGCGTTTTAGGGTTTAGGGGTTCAAATTAGGGTTTTAGGGGTTCAGGGGTTTAGGGGTTTATGGGTTTTTGCCCCCCAGGCGTACAAACCAGAGCAGCACAGACCGCGACATGCTCAGGGAAGAACACTTGCAGCTTCTACAGGATTAACACGAACAGTCCAGCAGCTGCCTGTTTCGCCAAGCCTAGCTACAAAACATCACAGACGGGGGGGGACTTCGTGGCGTCATTCCCTGCACACTCCACACGAAAACCCTAAACCTCCCCGAACCCTGATAAGACGCCCGCATCTCGACCCTAAACCCGAAACCCTAAATCCCTCCCCCTGTGAGGAGCCATTTTATCGGCTCCTGGAAAGTGCAGCCACCGACACCCTGAGCGACTTGGAGAAGAGTCGAAACCCAAACCCTCCCCTTACCCAAAACCCTAGATGGGGGTTTCCTTCGAGGGGATTCTATACTATTTGGGGTATAAACGGTACCCCTAGTTGGGAAATACCTATATACAAGACCCAAGAGTAACCTAGGAAGACAAAGGGTGCCCCTTTTTGGTTTAGAAGGGCTTATAAGGAAACCCAGACCCCAAAAGGCAATAAGGGCCTACTCTGGATCCTAGTAGCCCTCAACCCTAAACCCTAAACCCTAACCCCTACCCCCTAACCCCTAAACCCTAAACCCTACACCCTAAACCCTACACCCCCTAAAAAAAGGACTAAGGGCAAGTTCTGAGGGCTGAGGATCCCTAGCAACTCGCTGCGTCTCACATCTACTCCCAGTCGCTGTCCACCCAGATCAGGTAGGTCTTCTTCGGAGGCTTAAAGCCTGGGTAGACGGGGGGGGGTAGGGGGGGTTGGTGGAAGGGAGGGGGGGGGGATAGAAGGGGGTTGGGTTAGCTGCCAGTGGTCTGCAGGTTCTAGGGTGGTCTGTTAGGCAGCTGCAGGACCGTGTCTGCATGGCGGCTGCCTTCACCAAAGGCTTCCTCCACGAATCCCTGATGCCTTGCTGTGAAAACCTCACGCAAACACAAAAGCCCCGCCTATGAAACTACACCCCTTGAGGGCTGATAGATAGACAGAGAGACAGACTAGACAGGTTGGGTTGAGGGTGGTCCTTCTTGTAAGGTGCCGTGCTAGAATAGGCACCCAAAAAGGGACCCAATCTTCGAGAGCTACCCGGAGTAGCTGCAGCTAGGGAGTAGCTAAGGAGATACGGGAAACTCACACACACACACACACACACACACACAGAGCTGATGCTCATCTTAGGGTAGTTGCATGGGCCCTTATTCTGGGCCCTTAACACGGAGAGCCCTTATATACACCTGTCATAACCTATACAACCCAAGGGCCCATACTTCAGAACACGTCATAAAGGACTGGGACCATATTAAGGGACCATGTAGCTACCCTAAACCCTAAACACAACTCCCCTAAACCCTAAACCCTAAACCCGACATTCTACAACCTAATTCCAAAACCCTAACCCCTAAACCCCAAGCCCTGCACCCTAAACGCAAGACAGAACTACCCCCCAAGAACTCAGCCAAGGTGCTGAAAGCTATTCCGCGGCTCCTAAAAGGCGCAAAGGGGCTTAGTGT